AGCCACTCTTACCTCTGAACTGGTCGTTTTATTATCATTAGGTACAAGCTTATTATTCTCTATGAGGTCCATCAAAAAGAATGCACGCGTCACGTGACTAGTTCGACAACCCCAGATTCCGGTCGGCTGCACCGTCCTTTCTGCTTGGTTTTATACGGAGAGTAACGTACACCGGAAAAGTCCCACGCATCCACGCATCCAACTACACGCACGCACGCATCAGCTACACTGCTTTTGGAGGGTGGTTGTATCGAGGAGAGGAGCCTGCGGTATAAATTGGGTGTCAACAGCGGCTTCAGTTCGGTCGGTAGCAGAAAATGGAAAGTGTGGATGATGGTATGAGAGGGATTAGTATAAAAGGGTGTGGAGGATGAGGATGTGGTGGGGACTGTACCTCGCTCCTTGAAGCTTTCCACTGGTCACGGGAGAGATTATCGAGATGATCATCACAGAAAATAACCAAGCTACCAATGATGATATTGGTTATACTGGAGATCCGGAGGTAAGACGCATCTCTCGGTTTGTCGTGCTAGGACTGACTTGACTAGTCAGGAAAGTCGAGTATCATAGAGCATGATACCCACGATACACAAGAGGGTATAACACCTCCAATCACATCCCGTTCCTCATCTGTAGCCGACCCACGGGACGACTCTCCACCGAGCTACTCGGCACCAACATCCCCTCGACCACACCTCTCCATTCCTCTCCTCCCCACCGACCCACGGACCCCCCACCTCCACCACTCCTCTCAGCACCCCAGCCCCGTCGAGTCCATCGAGTTGGGACGAACGTGGACCGCCTCTGTCGACCCCCACGCCCAACCAGAGCTAGAATCCCAAATAGTACTACGCCCCCGTACAAATCGAGGTTCCATGAGCGTTTGTTGTTGTTTGGTGATTACGATGTTGGCGTTAGGGGGTACAGTCGTTGTCGCCATGCTCCTCACCAAACGCCGTACTTGATAAGCAGCATAGAGGCCTGGCGTCCACTAGTACCATCCCACGACACGAATGATGTGATGGCTAGTGGAGTGGCGCGCTAGATGAGCTAGCCACGAGAACGATGCCCCTGACCGATAGACGAGGAAGCGCATGCGTACCAACTCGTCTACCCAAACCCCGATCCTATCCCCATACCGTTCCACGGATTTGAAGAGCTTAACCACGCTGGTCAAGCGTAGGACATTCGAAGGAGATAGCGTCACGTGATTATCTGGTTCTCACCGGTTGAACAGTCTTTTTTCGCGGAAAAAGTGTCGGGGAGAGAGGTTTCCTACGGTTCACCCACACTGCTTGCAGGGTAGCCGTCTTCGAGATGTTTGTTGACCGGTCTTCTATTCGTTCGGTAGCAGAATAGGGAAGGAAAGCGGATAATTGGGGAGTGGTATAAAAGATGTAGAGAGGGTTTTCCTCGACTCGTTGCTTTTGAACCCATTCCTTTTGATGGACCTCATAGAGAATAATAAGCTTGTACCTAATGATAATAAAACGACCAGTTCAGAGGTAAGAGTGGCT